AAAAAAAAAAAAAAAAAAAAAAAAAAAAAAAAAAAAAAAAAAAAAAAAAAAAACATTCGCCACACACAAAAAGCACCCACGTCAACATTCGATCCAAGTAAACCCCCACATCGTCATGGCCACATCAAAGTCCGATTATGGTACTATTGGGCGAGCGCGGCCTCGGCCACTTGGGTGTCGTCCAAGGTGTGCAGCCAATTGAATATCATCATGTTCCTCTCGTACTTGGACAACTGCTTGCCCCTCTCGCGCTCCACGTCCTTGACCGTCAGCGCGTGGTCGTTCCGCCCGGGTTTCCGTCCCGGCTGCAAAAGGGCCGCCCCTGCCGGCACGCCGCTCGAGGCCAGTGCAGCCACCGTCGCTGACGGCACCGCCAGGGTGAGTCCACCGCCGCCCGCCTGCGTCGCGGCCGACGCCGCCGCTTCCAGTCGGTCCAGGTTGAATTCGCTCTGCGACAGCCGCTCCAGCGCTCGGTACGTCGTCAGTAGCCTGCAATGACACATCGTTTTCACTTTGACTCCTCAAAAGTCACCGAGGAATCCCATTTTTTTATACGTATATAATATGTATACACACGGTTTCACAACATATATTATGTACACCAATGCTCGAAAAGGCCTTTCATCGGTTACATTGTAACGGTACACCAATGTTTCGATCGTTTATTATACGTATATATATATGGTTGGTTGTGTGTTTGTCAAGGGGCTGCGAGTGAAAATTAAAAAAAGGCCCCAGAGCGCGCAGCCCCTCGGTATTCGTAAAAGAGATTTTTCAAGCTTCCTTTGGTATGGGGGGTTGAGCTAGGTGTGAAAAAGAAGGAAAGAAAAAAAAAAAAAAAAAAAAAAAAATGGGAGAAGAAGAGTTTGCGATGGTCGTACCTGCGCCTAATGTAGCTCTGGCGGACCTTTTTGTTGACCGACCTGACGAGATCGGCGGCGGTGAAGGGCACGACGGGCGGGTTGAGCATGACCAGGGAGGCGGGCTGTTGGGCGGGGGGGTGCAGTTCCCTGGTGGTGCCGCCGTGGGGACTGGGCAGTTGGGAGGTGGTGGGGATGTCGCCGACCGCGACCCAGGTGCTGCAGGAGCGGGACGCGTGGTCGAGGCGCGCCTGTTCCAGGAGGAAGCCGTTGCGGTGGGCGAGGTCGAGCCCGTGGGACGAGACCGCGGAGCGTAGGGTGGCCCGGCCGTCCATGGCCTCGGGGCTCGGCAGTTGGGACACGTCCGAGGTGCTGAAGCTCTTCTGGAGGCCCAGGGCCGAGGACAGGGCACCGCAGCTGCGGATCAGCTCGGTCTCCTCCTCGAACCAGAGGATCTCCGGTATGTCGGCTGGCCTGTTTAGATATCACCATTGGGTTACAAACAAGTTTATATAGCTTGCATATAAGTATATACTTATGTGTAATTGCTCTAACGATTTTTATTTTTCACTCTTTATTGTGTTTTTTATTAAAGCTTTCGATGAGTCGTGAAAACGGTGCAATCGTAGAAAAGTTATTGCCAAAAAGTAGATGGTGGAGTGAGAGAGCGATTATACAGTCACTTTACTGTTTCTTTTTTTATACAACGTCAGCTATGATGTATACACTTTTTTTTCATACATCAAAATTAAATTAGATTTGTTGACCTTGTAAAACTGATACTTTCATTACAATAGTTATCGATTGCGTATTTTGCAAAAAAAAAAAAAATTTAGATTTCAATCGATAATTACGTCGATTGTAACTGGGTATCATTGAAAATTCATAACGAGTACTGTAATTAAGATTTAAGATTGTTATCAATTGTTATTGACCTTACCATAAATTTTTGTACTTTTTCTACCATCCTATCTGTTGTCGGGTAGGGTAAAAAAAATATTTATAACTTTGATACTTTTGTGAAAAAAGCATTATTTCGAAAATTAATTTTATAAAAGGTATAATAATTTAAAAGTAAAACTCAATTCTGAATATAAAAAAAAAAAAAACTATTTCTCAAAAGTAAAGGCTCATTTATTTTATTTCTTATTTTTCACACTTATCTGTTGGGTGGTTGAATAAATAATAATTGTTTTTTTTTTCTTTCTTGGTAAGGAATCATTGTGTCTATGAAAAATAGTTATCTCTCATTTAGGCAAAAAATTTGTTTGAAAAGACTTAATGGTCGGATTAAAAAAAAACTACCAATGATTAAAGTAGTATCTTTTTTCAACTCGGAATAAAGATAATTCTTCTCTCTATATACATATAGAAAATTTTATTGCAATCAGATCGGATACGACACTAAAAAAAAAAATTGTCATTTTGAATGCAGTTTATCAACATAATTCAATAAAAAAAATGATCTTTCATGAGTAACTTGGTTATTTTCTTCATTAAAAAGAAACAAGTCTAATCAGAATTCCGTGCGCTTGCTCGAGCTAATTTCGTTCTAAAACTTATTTTCCCGGCAAAACTGCTCTACTTGTAGCAAATAACTTTCAGATGTGAACAACAAAACCGATGAAACTTTTTACTATAAATTATAGCGAGTAATAAAAAAAGTTTAATTTTTTTTTACTGGTTTCACCACGTAGTTGTAGAAGAATATTCAGTGCACGCACACCTAATGAATTTCCAATTCGGTCGCGAGTAGTTTGGTCATATTACGTTGAACAATCAGAGCGTGACGCGTATATTTTACGGACTGTAAGTTACAGTATGGGTGTGTGTATGTGTGATTTTATAGTCGAAGGTAAATTTATCGAACTGCTTGCTCAACGCAATTTTAATTGATGACATCAACGAGTAACTACCAAGATTCTGCTTTTTTACTAACAATGATTTTAGATGATGTAATACGTGTGATTTTTTTTTTTTTCAATTTTATAGTATCAGTTATAATAAACGCAAATGTTTTTTAAATCATTAATGAAAAATATTGTTTAGCTCAAACAACTAAGAGATCACTGTGACACAAGTAACGAAATTGTTTTTCAGCTTTGAAACGTAAGCTCTACTGTACCAGAGCTTTTCCCTTATTCTTTTTCATCTTTGTATTTTTATCAAGTACTATAGCTTTATTTCTGCACTATTCGTACTTCATTCCATAACTTGATACAATTTTAACACGCAAAAAAAAAATTTACTTGCAAATTATAGTTTTTAAACCATAGTGCCATTTTCATATTGTTAAAAATATTTGTTTTTAATAGAATATTCATCGAAACGAGATATTGATGTAACTTATCAGCTCGTGGAAAAAGAGAACGAGCATATTTTAAATTCCGCGTGTTTCGTGGTTTTCTAGTACAACAAATAATCGATACAACTGCATGCGGTACAATGTATTATTTTCCCTCCATTAAATTGATACGAACAAAATCTTACATTTTACCCTGTGAATAATTAACCGTTGCAATACTTTCAACAACTTTTTTTACTTTGGATTCTCATTATTCCAGCTAAAATTACTTTTCATCGAAGTCAGCTAGTCCACCTTATATACATAGTTGCAGTGATCGTCAAACCCCACTGTTTAAAAAGCCTAACAATGTTTAAAAAAAAAAAAAAAACAAAAAAAAAGGCAAACTTTCCGACTCACCTGTTGCCCTGAACCTGCAGCCTAGACTCGGGGTTCGGCGAGGGTCCTCGCCCCGACAGGTGCACATCGCTGTAGGACTTGAACGAAGCCAGCCGATTGGCGCTCTTCGCGTCGCTGGCGATCGACGAGACGCTAAACAGCGACAGGTCAGTGGTGACGCTCTCGTGGCTGGGGGAGCGCAGCATTCGCGAGGCCACTTGCAGTATCGGTGGCGGCTGGATCGTCACGTGCGTCGGCGGCGCCGCCGGCTTCGCCTCCGTCTCCGACATACTGCTCTTTTTTTTTTTTTTCTCCCCCACTAGCAACTGTCGATTATTGCTTTTCCTCCTCCCCCTACGCAACACTCGCAAAATAATTTCTGCAAAAAGCTACACTTGTCTTCTTCCTTTTCAACAGACAGCTTCCAGGATCACCCAACTTTTCAACGTTGCAAGTTAGATGGGGTCGTTTTGTAATGTCACATGGCACTTTTGCAGGAAACCCCTTATTCGTCACTCATTATTATTTTTTTTTTTTTAATTCTACCCCACATTGAGTGAACGCACAAAAATCTTCATCTTTCCCACCACCGACACTTGGAATTTATGTCTTTTCGCGAAAAATTCCATCACGAAACCCCACACGGTTTACACACTTTGTCGTTAAACAAAGTCACCAGTAAACAATCACAAGGGTCGTGCCTACGCACTTTACCAGACGCTGACGTCAACCGCTGCGCCCACCGATACACAGTGTAGTATCGGCCACCCTAATAATCACGGGGTGTAGGTAAACACGTAGGCAAAAAATAAAAGTCACGAGCAAGCACCCACGATCACCCGCTACTCGGCAAACACAATAAGCGCTCTAAAGCGTAATCGACCGAATTAGATCGAAAAAGTGGCATCGGCACTGTTGGTACATACACACCCGTACATATAGGCGGACTTATCGAACGATCAAACTCGAAGTACGCGGCACTTATGATATATTATAGCTCAGAACAAATGAAATTGAAACTACCGGCTGGCACGCGGTGTGAATTGTCCTCTTTTCTTTATTTCGGTATAGCTCGTACGGACACGTTTGATGTAGGTGTGTACACATGCCGGAAGGGAAAAATCGATGATGCCGAGCGACGGTGTCTAATGTATAATATACTTACCGAAAGGTATATAATACACCGGAGCTCTTAATCGCTCGTCTATTGTTCTCCGTGCTCGCGACGGCGTCATTCTCATTTTTGCCTACATATAGGCCCAGTGCCGCTTCCTTTTTTTTTTTTTCTTTTTTTTTTCCAAGTTCGTTGATGGCCATGATGAATGACAGATTACACGTGAGACCGAGTGACGCTTTGGAGCTCGTCTATGGCTCTGTAAACAAAAACAAAAATAAGTTAGGGATGAAATGTTTACAATATTCGGGGGTGAAGGATCTAATTTTTTCATACGAAGGTCCTTTTTTTTTTACCCTAAAAACGTCGGGGCAAACAACAACCAAGTAATCGTGATAAGTATATACCTATGTGAAAAAAAAAAAAACAAATATGTGACACTTTATTACAGGTTAAAAACAAGCGAGTGGCGATTTCGATCATTTGAGACACATCGTTTTGTTTTAATATCGGTTGAACCATTGGTTTGGGCATTTGTAGAATTAGATTAGCCTCTTACCACAATATGTCCAATCCGTGTATTGGACGGATGGTAGAGGAACGGAGGTATGATACGGAAGCCTTTGGGGTATAAATAATGCTCTCTCGGACCACCGTAAACAGAGAAAAGGAGTGTAAATTCCTTGGTATCAGTGATGCTAAATAAAAGTGCGATTAACACGTAACAACGCCCAAGGAAATTTTTTTGCTTTTAAAATAGGTAATAATAATAAAACGTTGAGTACCGGAAGGCCGCGTGATGGGAAGCGCGCTACATAGAGAACACCAATGACAAAATGATTAGATACGCCTATAAAAGGCACGAGTGATCTTGAAAGTACTGACTTGTAAAATCCTCTGCAGTTTTTTTAAATCAAAGGTATACAGTTTACTATCCCGGTGTGAACAAACATCAAAGTTGTTTTTTTTTTTTTTTTTTTTTTTTTTTTTTTTTTTTTTTTTTTTTTTTTNAAAAACTTAAAAAAAAAAAAAAAAAAAAAAAAAAAAAAAAAAAAAAAAAAAAAAACACAATTTTAGATATTTTAGTTACAATCGAATAACATTACCATAGCTTGTTTATACTCTTTACGCTACTTACGAATCCTTGACAAGTCACGAAAGCAAACGGATGCCCCATACAACGAGTACAATTATACGCGCAATCAACTCAAAGTCACAAAACAAAAAAAAAAAAAAAAACAAACAAAAAAAAATACACATGCACGTACTCACAGCAACTACATTCGCAAGAAACGACAGAAGCACCAAAACTTCAAAGCTCCCTCGCTAAAACGCAGCTGAAAGAAAAAAAAAAAAAAAGCTCCAAAGTGATTACATAGACACACCGCGCATTGGAGACTCGACTGAGAAAAGACTCTCGCGTTCAAGCTCCTCCTTCCTCCAACCTCACACATATGATTCTCTCCTCGCCTCGCATCACGTACCTCCGCTCCTTTTCTCGTTGTCCTTACGTAATATACTCGACGAGCTTATACATATACATATACATATATAGTCTCTCGTAATCGTTTTATTGTGATGCAACTCGAGAGCTTCATTTTTTTTTCTTCAAGCCTTCAAACATCACCTCGTCGGCAAAGTAAACCAAACACTCCATGGTATACAGACAGACGCGTCCATCCGAAAGTTATACATAATATGTTGGTGTACTCTGTTTGCCCGTCAAACTAGCTAAACTCACCCTTTCGTGTCTCCCCTTTGTTTTTCCCCTTGTCCGTGTACACACACACACACACACATATAAAACACCGTCACTGTAGCGAATTCACGGTTGCCTGATGGCTGTCCTCTGCAAATAATTGTGTGTACCCCAGTTACGCGCGTCTTCTCCCGGTTGAAAACATTACCCGCACAACCATATAAATATGCACGGAAAAGGGCGAAGCGTAAAATCTTGCGCCACCTTCGTCGAGATTTTTTATTTTCGTTTGCAAATCAATGAAATTGCATCGAGTAAAATTATCGGAGCGATTATCGGCTATACGATCGGCCGATCGAACGGAAAAGCCACTGCTCTGTCGATGAATGCTCCGTTGCGCTGGTATGATCGGCTCGCGCGGGTATATCGGGGAGGACTAATGGCACCGGGAGAAACGAAGCGAAGAGAGAGAGAGGGACAATTGAATTTATGTATAAAAGATAGCGATGCGATGGCGTGGGTGCGAGTGTTTCGCATTTTATTGGGTTCCGACTATTTTTCCCGCGTCCACATCGACCGGTGTGAACTTGCCGAGCTTTGAAATTTCATTCCCGGGCAGAGAGGAGTCTGAGACAAAGTTTTGTTTGTACGGTGTCATTCGTGTGGTTAAATAAATTACAGACTGTGATTAATTGTTTTTGGTGTTTAATGTTATGGAAAAAATTTAATTTCAAAGACAAAAGGTAGCGTTTATTTTTATTGATCTCAAACAGGCAAGTTCAAGGCAAAGGCTTACACCAAGTTCATGACTATTGTGACTCTAATGGCTGTAGAGTCGCCTTAAAAATTCATGCAACGGTTTTACTACTTAAGTACCCTTCACCCGGTCATACCACGGAATTTATCCCCATGATCCACATCGCGTTAACATTTTATTAGTAATTTATTAATTTGTGATGAAAGTTTTATTTTTACATCGTATCGATTAGTAAATACAGTAAAGTCATGCAATGAAACTCTGTACAGTTGATTAGCAGCAAAATTACACTGTATCATGATTTTTGAATAAAAACAGTACAAAGTTATTGAGGAAAGACAACAAGAGGCTCAAATGAATTATCGATGAAAAATATATGCAGAGAAGTATTCAATCGATACTCGAGAGAAGTTTCTTAACATCAAAGGTATATTGGGTAATGAAGAAATCATCTCTAAAAAGCTCGGGGTTGAAAAATAGGATTGAAAGAAAGAGAAGAAAAATGAGGGTGAAAGCGGGTCACCGAACAATTTTTTTTTTTTTTCAACATTTTTGCTCGAATTTTTGAGTTTTCGTATAGGTATAGCTGTGCAAGAAATTACATGATTTGTGATTGGAAAATAATTCGATCGATGTACGCAAACTCGGTTTTTCGATTTAAAGTCGTTTGAGGAGAACGTGATTTTAAACTAATCCATTACGAGACGTGAGTTTGAATTACGATGGTAAATTAAACGAGTGATTTTTTATTATTACAATTCAATTTACATGTATGTATTTTAGATTAAAAGCACCTATATATTAATTGATCTACATGTTCAATAAAACATGTACGTCATATACTTTAAGTAGTACGAAGCGAATATGGTGCGACGGATTTTCGCCTCGTTTATCGAGGGATGTATAAAATAATTTATACACTTTTCATCGAAAAATTTGAATACATAATATTATACACTTTGAATCGATTTTTCAAATGTATTACACCCCGATTCGACACGTGAAATTCCATAAAATGCGTGACTTTGGTAAACGAACGTAAATTTTCTGGCTGACGTTTCGGTATCGGTGAATATTTAGACCGTTGAAGTGATTTACGGTCTTGCGGGAAAAAAGCCCGTACACCCACACACACGAGTGACCGATTGCTCGAGAAAAGATTAGAGCGATCCCCTGATAAAAATTGCCCTTTTTTCTCTTCCTCTTTTTTTTTTTTTTATCATATTTTCATAGTTGCGAAGCCGAAGTTGCGATTCGAATAAATATCAAACGCATGTGCAAAGTATAAAAGATGTCATTTTAAAATAAAACATCACAGTCACGAAGTTCTACGCATCCACATCAAATGATAATATTGGATTGTCTCGTCACATATTTTTTTTCTTTTTTTTTATGTTTTAAACTCACCTGTACTTTTTTTTGCCGTGCAAAGTTTTTTGGAGCTTTTTAAAAAAGCTACTCATACGCGAGTATGTCGGTTGCAAAATTTCCAAACTATCGATCGCCGAGACGTAAAATAAAGCTACTAAAAGTACCATCGGTAACTACTCGGGGGGCTTGAAACAAAGTCCCCGGCAATTTTCGCGCGAGCGAGGGGTACAAATAATACATAGACAAAGGCATTTTCTGTTTTGCTCATAAAAAAGAGGTACGAAACAAAACTTTTATTTACATTGAAGCTCCCATTACTTACATCACGGTCCAGCGATCGAATCAACGCGAAAAATCATCCAAAATATTTCGAAACGTAGTATAAGCTTTCTCCAAGGGGGAGGAAAAAAAAAAAAATGCTCCACGACAGCCCTAACGAAGGATCCGATGCGAAACAGCCCCCTGCGACGGTCGTGGAAAAAAGCCCACCGAGCAGAAACAAAAGAAGGGACGCAATTGAATTTCACGTGAACGCGATGTCGTATTATATACACACCTCACTCGCATTTTCGTTCTTCCAGTGCTTCCCCCCCTTGTATACATATTATGAGTACAACGTCAATGCCCCTTGCATTTGCGAGAATCATCTATACGGGAAGGGTAGCTATTGGGTACATTATATCTTTCTTGTCTCCAACGAATCATTGCGTCAAAACCAATTTTCACCCCCCTCTCCCTTTGGCCAGGTACTTTTTTTTCACCCAAAAACAAGTAAGTACACGCCAAAAGAGAAGCTCGCACGGAGGCAGATGATAAACATGCACCCGATGTCACAATGACCCCCCCCTCCCACGGTACACATGCACCCCGAACGAGCGCGCGCGCGCAGCATCTCACCCCCACCCCCCGCGCAGCTATTCGCTTACAATAAGCATACACGTCTTACCCCTATGTGTAGCCGATCTTGGGGTGCTTGGTGACAAGTACCTTGCCTCCTGATTCGCGCACAATGTGATGTTTGACCATAAAGTATAGGCACTCGCGCGCGCGTGCAAACGAAAACGAAAGCAATTGCACATCAAAACAAAAGAACAGGAATGAGAGAGAGAGAGAGTGTCCTCGGAGTAGCGTCAGAGCCGCTTTGACGACGCTCGAGCACTGCCACTGGGCTCGTTTCCTCGTCCTCCTTCTCCTGGGGGGTGGTTGGTTGGCGGTGGTAACGCCGCACAGTGGGGAAACGCCGACGATCGATAAACTTTTCGCGCACGTGTTGTGGGTCGCGCCCCCTCCCCCCCTCCACCCTCGCCCGTCCAACTGTATATACGTATACAGGTGGGGGTGTGTTTACGTCTCGTGTGTACATGTACGTTGCGTGTATACACACGAGGATGTGGGACGCGGGGTGAGGGTGGACGGTTGGGGCTGCATCTTTTTCTCGGGGGGGGTGGGCGATGCTTTGGTCGTCTTGAGGGACCGTGTGATGTGTATGGATGTGCGGGCGAAGCGAGCTGCCGGAGGGTCGGGCGAGTCGATGATCGCTTCTTTTGGACTGTGTTCCTTTTGAAGGGTCGATGGTTGTCTCTGTGGGATCTATACACAAGTTACGGGTGGAATCGCCTGTCTTTTTTTTTTTTTTTTTTTCTATTCGAATGAGAAGTAACGACATCCTCCCTAGTTCGTACTTTTTTATTTTTTTTTCGTTCAAGACGATATATACACATACAGTATTCTATACAGAGATAACCAAATGTACATCCTCAGGTTTAAACAATTTCATATCCACATATGAGAAGGTAACCTTCGCGGTGTTTGTACATCGACAAGTGCTCGTATTGAAATTTATCGTATGTAGACTCACGTACTAATTATTTACGTGATGATGGCATGTTTTATCGCGATTTCGAGGGATGGATGATTGTATGTACCCCACCGCGTCGAGGAAAAGGCCGAAAAAGAAAATTGGACAAAGAACAGCAGTAGTAAAGGGTAGGAACGCTTTGAAAAGTTTATAAAGCTCCCTTGGGCATTCAACCGTATACCGTGCACACATTAAACGCACGCTAGAGTGGCTGCACGAAACGAAAACAACTTAAAAAAATTGTTGTCTTCCGATGGATTTGCCCAACGCCCACTTGGTTATACCAGAAATCTATTATTTACATAAGAACATTTTTGTTAGAAAATATTTTTAATATTGAAAGTTATCTGCATGGACAAAAAAATACGTATGTTTAAACGATTTTTTCCGTTAGGTGTAGAGGCATTTGTGCCGTTAGAGTTGTGGAACATAAACTGGGTAAACCAGTTTTTTTTTATTAATAAGTGATTATAAGCATACCAAACATTAAATTTGACTATAGTAGTATATTTTTGCTTTGTTTCCCTTTTTTTCCACTACACAACTTTTCTTTGATTACTTAACGAATAATGTGGAGGTTTTGATGATAAATTACATCCATCCATACACTTTTTTTTTCAAAGAGTGGGTA